TTTATCCAGAGTCAGTATGACTCCTCCCTATTTCTTTGTAAGACATCTACAGATATTGTTCTTTTACTTGTGTATGTGGATGATATTGTTATCACTGGCACAAATTCTGGTTTGATAACTCAACTCCAGCAGCACCTACAGGCTTCCTTTCACATGAAGGATCTTGGTCCTCTAACATATTTTTTGGGCTTGGAAGTACACACTGATTCCACGGGTATATTTTTGAACCAACACAAATATATTCAAGACTTGATCACTTTGGCTGGTCTTCAAGATTCTTCTTCTGTCGATACTCCTCTGGAAATCAATGTTAAATATCGTCGTGAAGAGGGTGAGCTCCTTCCTGATCCAACTATCTTTCGTCAATTAGTTGGGAGCCTTAACTACTATACCATCACTGGGCCTGATATATCATTCGCAGTCCAGCAAGTCAGTCAGTTTATGCAAACTCCACGACATCTTCATCTTGTGGCAGTTCGTCGCATCATTCAGTATCTCCAAGGTACTCCTCATCGTGGATTGTTTTTCCCTTCTGGGTCTCCTATTCGTCTTGTTACATTTAGTGATGCAGATTGGGCCGGCTGCCCTGACACTCGTCGTTCTGTTACGGGTTGGTGTATGTTTCTTGATAATTCTTTGATCTCCTGGAAGAGTAAAAAGCAGGCACGTGTGTCTAAATCTTCAACTGAATCCGAATACCGTGCCATGTCCGCTGCCTGTTCTGAGATTATGTGGCTCCGAGGACTTTTAGCTGGACTTGGCTTTCCTCAGTCTGATCCTACACCCCTTCATGCGGACAACACGAGTGCTATTCAGATTACTACAAATCCAATATATCATGAGCGTACAAAGCATATTGAAGTAGATTGTCACTCAATCCGAGAGGCTTTTGACGCAAATATTATTTCTCTTCCGCATATCTTTACTGATCTACAGATTGCTGACATATTCACCAAAGCCATGACACGACAACGTCATCTCTTTCTTGTGGGCAAATTGATGCTTCTTGATCACCGAGCATCAATTTGAGGGAGGATGTCAATTAGATGAGTAATTAACGCATAGTTGTAATTGGTAGAAAATTGCTTAGTTTCCATTTGTGTACAGTGATAGCTAACATTCAGCCGTGTAATTTGCCTTATTATTCCTATATATACAAAGGAACCCTCACAATGAGGATTATCGAGTCAAAGGATAAATTGAATACCTTGACAGGTAGTAACATCCACCTCCCATTTTCTACCTCATTTTTTAGTTCATAAGACGGTCAGGAAATCCACAACCCCATATTGGATCTAGGTGGAGGCATAGAAACCTGCCTAGGATTTGATGCTGTTTATTTTATTTTTTTTAAAGGAAGCCGTAGATCAGATAGAAAATACCTCCAAGTTAGCTGAATGCAGAGGTTGGTAGCATGCATTAGCTTTCAGATGTCCTTTCTGAAGAGAAAAGGACACCATTTTTCCAAATATATTTTCCTCAGAAATAGGCTGCAGCGGTCCTACGATCTCCACTGCAAGATTTTCATCTGGCCTACCCGTGGCATCCAACTGCATTACCAAAAACTAAAAGAATAAATGAAGTGTTGAACTAGTTTAGGCTGAAGCAAATACCATCAACACTTAAATTACTTTAACAAAAAAATAGATAGTCCCCAATGATATATGAAATAATTAAGATCAACTTCACCGAATAAAACAAAACATTAAGTGGTACTATCAATTTTCAAGGAGTGTCCTGATTCAGAGTATATTAGACATTTTCACCAGCATTAACCTCTTTGCTCATGATAACAACTAAATAATCTGAAGGGGCTCACAAACGAATCATCTACTTTCTTACTCTAGCTACCTCAGCCACCTTGAGATTTGAGAAAATGTAGATCTAAGCATAAGAATTCCAGGAGAGTTAAATTGGTGGCACACGTATGACTTTGAGAAAGAATAAACAATTATTTATGTACTTGAAGCAGCCTCATGCATGTTAATTTACATTCTTTCACATAGCACTATTATAAACACACACACACAATTGCAAGACCAAATTAGGAATATTCTATATTTTAATATATAAAGCAGACGTGTTATCTAAGCATGTTCTAGGGACCAAAAATGAGATCTCAATAATTGTGTTTTGCATCATTAAAGCTTCAAGGCAAACCTTGATACCCGTAGATGTGATACTCAATACTCCAGCTAACTGGGGTGCCAGCATCAACTGATTCAGTTTAAGACCCGATATTGAAACATCACCAGAAAGACTCTTTGAATCTTCATTAACTTCCATCAACGGAAATTCTGAATTTTTATCAGAACCCAAGACTTGCTCGTTATTGATAGGAGAAATCTTATTGACCTTTCCTTGAAACTTAACTCTTCCAGTTGCTTTCAAATGCACAGGTCTCAGAGAATCAAAAGCATGAGAAGAGACCAAGTTGAAAAACTCAAAGTTGCGCATTCTTAAATCCAATTCAATTCCTTCCACAGAGAAAGGCATGGCAACTTCTATACCATACTCTTTCCAATTTAACCAGTTCTCATCGGGATATGATGTCAGAATTTTTGTGCATAATTCAAAAGCAACTGATGAGGAATTAACAGAAATGTAATCGTGTGAAATTATGATGTCTCCACGAGCATCAGAAAATGATCCTTCAGCTTTTGGCGCAGTCCATTTGATGTCAAATCTCCTGCATTCACAAAAATGGTTAAGCGAATTTTCATACAAGCAAATGCAGGGATTATTTTCTGCATTTATCTCAATGAGACTACTGATCAACTATTAGAAAGCTACTGATCAACAATTAGAAAGACAAGGCAATAAATCTTACGGTCTCAACAATGACCCAGAGAGTTTTGTTTCTCCAATTAAATCCCCTAATTTTAGGGGCATTGATTGAAGATAACCAGGTACATATCGGCGCATGATTTTATCAAAACATAAATTGCCCGAAAAGTTGACATCCATTGCAGTGTCATTGACCTCACCCTGGAATAGTAATGCATTAAATGACAGACTGAAAATAAACTTAAGCTGTTAAGCAAAACATACCTTACAGTCAGTAAAGGATCAACTGAAGTAGCAACACAGAACTAATTTTCTAAATACATGACATATTTTACCTTGACAAGGCCCTAAGATATTGCATTCTTTTTACTCTTACAACTTATTTTGTTCCAGTGTAGCTACAGGTACATAAACAAACCATATTCCTAATGACAGCTCCTTGTGCAAAATACATAGCACTTATTGGGAACTCTACAATACGTATAGCATTTATTATCTAAAATATTAATATTCATGCTTAAATTGAAGCTTGAAGTTCTATTGCTTAGGATGGATTGCAGAATTAACCTGATAAGAAACCCTGAGAACATTAATTCCAACTTCCATATATTTCTTCTTTAAAATTCCGAAATTATAAGGTATAAATATAAGAAATTCTTGATATTAAACAAATATGTATCCATTCGGATGTTGCGTAATTCATCTTCACGCCATACACATCATCTCATGGAAAAATAAACACCTCAGGGCAAATCCACGCATTCCCCGCTCCCCGAATTTCACCACCATCTACAAGTGTAGCTCTGATTCCATACAAGTCAGCAACCTGTCACGCACATGGTGAATCACATAAGACTAAAATATTAACAGAAAGAAGGACAAAAAACAGAGGGCCAATTTATTGGATAACTTAATTTTGCCATGGTACTCACACAGTTATCAGTGTTGAAAGTAAAGTTGGCTGAAATGTAAGAGAATGGAATGCGGTCAATTGCTGCCACTGCACCAGCCTCTTTATTCTTCATCATTGCCTCATAAGCAGTCGATTCAGGAGTATTGGCAGGTAAATAAGTGAGTTTCCTTGAGACCAGTGCACTCCCCACAAATGTAGGAGTATCCAATGGGCCTTGGCAATTGAAAATGGCGGTTACTGATCCAGCCAACTGAAGTGAATGAAGTAGGGAAATGAGTTCGATATGAAGCAAAAGAAAAGGACTACGGTGACTTAAGATGAAAAACACAATATAAAAAGCTGAATTTATTTACAATTTAATGTATAGCACAAACAAAAAATTTACAGCAAGGCATTTTTTATTTTTATTTTTTTTTTATAGGTAATCAGATATTTTTATTACTTAAAAGAGAATACACGGAGGGTGTACAATAATTTTAAGCCATTAAGGAGCAACATGAAATTAGGCAACCCGTCTACAGGATTTTTAGCCACAACATTAAACCAAGAATACAAAGTAAAGTAAAATGTTTCTCTTATCAGCTCTCTTGTCTTTGTTTGGTCTTCGAAACAATGGTTGTTCCTTTCTCTCCACGTGCACCATACAATACAACCCGGGATAAGGTGTCATGCTAATTTGCTATTCTTATCACGAAATTTTCTCTGCCATGCCCGTATCGCGTCCTCTATACGACAAGGCATCACCCAATCCATAGATTGAGAACCAAGTATACTGTCCCAAATCCAACGTACACCATCACAATGAATGAACAAATGATCGATCGTCTCCCCATCCTTCTTGCACATATAACACCATTTCGTTACGTAGAAGCCTTTACGTTGGAGATTATCCACCGTTGAGACATGTCCCCTCACAACTGTCCACAATAAGAATGTCACCCGAGGAGGCAATTTACATTGTCACACTAACTTCCAAGGGAATGAATTATTCACACATCCCATGAGGGAACAAAGTACGAGCGAACTGAAAAAATGTCATCCCGTGCTGTCCTCCACCTGATGCAATCACTCTCTCCTACCCGAATTTGTGCCTCATGTAGAAAGGTCATAAACAACGAATAATCTTCCAATTTCCAATCCTGTAGACCCCTTCCAATAGTAATATTCCAGCTACAGCTCCCATTATGAATGACTAAGAGATCACTCACCATAACAGAGGGCACTAAGGTAATACGGTGCAAGGAAGGAAATCCCTCCTCCAGCGGTTGATCTCCACACCAACAATCATCCCAAAATCTAATCTCATTACCATTTTCGACCACAAACTTCAGTTTGTCCAGAAAATTACTCCATCCCCGTCAGATATACCTCCACAAACTCACCCCATAAGAACCACGATCCTCAAATGTACACCATCCCCCCTCCGTCACACCATACTTCGCCCCAATTATTTCTCTCCAAAAGCTCTCCCTCTCCACTCGAAATCGCCACAACCATTTGCCTAATAAGGCCTTATTGAACAATACAAGGCTCCTCACCCCAAGACCCCCTATCCTCATCAGCAAACAGACAACTCCCCAATTAACCAAATGGAGTCTCCTCTCCTCCCCCAACCCTACCCACATAAATTCTCTTTGAAGTCTCTCTAATCTCTTTGTCACTGCAATCGGAATGGGGAACAATAACAAAAAGTAAGTAGGGAGATTGGAGAGAGTGGATTTAATGAGAGTAAGCCTGCCTCCCTTAGAAAGGTACACTTCCACCCTACTAACCTTCTCTCCATCCTTTCCACAATACCATTCCAGATATGGGTGCTTTTAAATCGTGCCTCTAACGAGAGCCCTAGATATGACATCGGCAGCTGCGCAACCTTACAACCCAATATACCAGCCAGCTTCTCCACGTTATCGACCTCCCCTACTAGAATAGCCTCAGACTTCCCCAAATTGATCTTCAAACCAGACACCGCTTCAAAACATAGGAGCAGACGGCGCAAGTTCCTGAATTGTTCAACATCTGCATTGCATAAGATCAACGTGTCATTTGCAAATAACAGATGGGACACCTGCAATTGATCAACCATAAAACCCCTTATCAAACCCGCTCCCACAACTCTTTCAATCATCCTACTGAAAGCCTCCATCACAATGACAAATAACAATGGAGACAATGGATCCCTTTGTCTTAAACCTCTACTGCTCCGGAAATAACCCTCAGGTGTTCCGTTAACCAAAACTGAGAATGAAACAGTAGAAATACAGAATTGAATCCATTCACCACTTATCCCCAAAGCCACAACGCCTAAGCATATACAACAGGAATCCCCAATTTACATGATCGTACGCCTTCTGAATATCTAACTTACATAACATCCCTGGGACCCTTAGACGCATTCTTGAATCTATGCATTCATTCGCTATAAGCACAGAGTCCAAAATCTGACGCCCTTTTACAATTGCATTCTGAAGCTTGGACACTTCTTTTCCCAACACTCCTTTAATCTGTTTACCAGAACTTTCGCAATAATCTTATACGCCCCACTGACAAGGCTAATGGGGCGAAAGTCCTTAATATCAGTCGCTCCCGATTTCTTAGGGATGAGCACAATAAATGTAGTGTTAGAACTTCTTTGGAATATGCCACGTTCAAAAAAATAAGATAAAGTATTCACAATGTCCGGTCGCACCACATCCCAGCACGCCTTGTAGAATGAGAACGAGAAACCGTCCGGTCTCGAAGCCTTATCATCGTTTATGCTGAACAATACCTCCTTAATTTCATCCTCCCCGAATGGTCTCTCCATCCATCTGGCATCATCCTCCGTGATAGTAGAAAAGTGCAATCCCTCCAATTCTGGCCTCCATTCAAATTGCTCTCGATAGAGGTTCTGATAGAAATTCACGAATTGGCTTCCAATTTCCTATGGTTCCTCATAAGTAACCCCATCCACCTCCAAAACTGTGACGGAATTGTTCCGCCTATTAGAATTGGCGACCCTGTGGAAGAACTTAGTGCATTTATCCCTCTTTCAACCAAGTAACCTTAGATTTCTGTCGCCAAGAAATCTCCTCCATCTCCACCAACCTCTCCATCTCTTCCTTTAATACTCTATGTCTCTTCTTCTCCTCCCCAACCAACCCTTGACTCTCATCCCGCCTATCCAACTCCTCTATCTCTGACAAACACTGATTTTTACTACAGTTAACATTGCCCACAACTTCCTCGTTCCATTTCTTTAAGTCCCCTTTCAATGCCTTTAGCTTCTGATCCAATACAAAACAAGGAGACCCATTGACTTCATAGGAAGTCCACCACGTCTGTACTTGCTCCCTGAAACCTTCTACTTTCAACCACATCTTCTCAAACCTAAAAGGTCTTCTTCCACCACCCCTCCTATTCCCAGATAACATAATAGGAAAATGATCCAAGTACACCCTACCCAATCTTCATTGAGTGACATCTGAATATTTGGACTCCCACCCCTTACAAATCAAGAACCTATCAATACGAGACAAAACGGGTCGGTCCCAATTAGATGACCAGGTAAAATTTCCCCCAATCATAGGTAAATCCACCAACAAATTCTCCCTAATAAAATCTAAAAACTACTCCATTGCCCTGGTTAGTCTCCCACCACTCGACCTCTCCGAAGGAAATTGAATCACATTGAAATCACCCCCAATACATGTTAGGAGATTCCACCAAACCCTCATTCCAGCCAGTTCATCCCACAAGCCAACTCTACTGTCATCAGAATTAGGCCCATAAACTCCTGTGAACATCCACCGAAATCCATCTCACAATTTTTGAAAGAAATCGATATAGAGAACACCCCTATACTCACCTCCTCCATCTCAAGCACTCTAGTGTCCCACATCACCAACACGCTTCCCGATACCCCTAATGACCCCAAAAACTGATACCCTACATGGTTTCCCCCCCCCCCCATAAACTACTAATCACAACCTTTGAGATAAACTCCATCTTAGTTTCTTGTAAGCATACAAGATTTGCCCCCTATCCCCTCAGCAAATGTCGAACATCAAGCCTTTTACCAACCTCATTGAGCCCCTTACGTTCTAGCTAATGAGTTTTTGCATCATTATAGCACTCCGTAACCCCTCCCCATTGTTCCTTTCTGGGACTCGCCACCCTTACCAACATAGTTTACTAACCATTCGAGCCTCTGAAGTTTGCGATTACCCTTTCTTCTTAATTTACCTCCATGTGTACTGATGTCTTGTCCCCTATTAGCCTCCAACTCCTCGAATAATTGTAACAGTCTACTTTCATATCCATCACATGACACACCAACCATATTATTGAATTCCTGAATTTTTTGTAGAACCCAGTTCGAAGGTGTGTGTCTAACTTCAAACACATCAGCTTCTGAAGTTTCTTCTCCGTGATAGCCCTCGAGATGATCAAAGGACCGTTCTTTCTCTTCTACCACTTGTATAATGTCACTGTCGCTTTCTCCCTTCTTGGCACCATCTACCCACAACACCAAAACTTTTTCGGTCCCCATATCATTTTTTTTGCCCTCCTATTATAAGTGTTCGTAATCCTTGATGTCGAATGTGTAGCATTGTTTTCTTTCACAACGTCCATTGTCATTATCTCCATGTTCACCATACTCGACTCCCTTTCCTTAGACAGCGGTTCCATCTCTCGTTCTACTGCAATCCCCGTGTCTACTTCATTCCGGTTGAGCCCCACTAAGTCAACCCCGCCGTCGTTTTTATAGTACCCCGCTTCCATCCTCTCCTGAGACTCACAATGTTCAACTCTTCCCTACTTTTCATGTTCTGTAATTGATGGTAGTTCCTCATGAGTCAATCCCGGTACGTGTATTTAACCAGTTTGATCCTTATCCAATTCAACCCCACACTTGTGACAACGTACCAATTTCATGGGGTCCATTTCAGGCCCCACTTCCAACTAGCCTAAGTAATTCATCCAATGCTCCTTTCAACTCCTGGACACGGGCCATTATTTCAGCCTTAATCAAACAAATGTCGTGACTTCCGTTATCACTGACTTTAATTGTCCTTTCCTTTTGCTATAGGAGCCGTTGGTTGGCATGCTCCGAGGTCTATGAGTTTGCTGTAATTTCTGCATAAGTCATCCTTTGTCTGTTTTGTTCATTCACCGCTTGTCGTTTGGCCTTATCCCTAGCAACAAATGAGTCAACAACTGCTTGAAACACCTGCGAGACCGACGGCCATCCCTCTCCATTTGCATCTTCTGGTATCATGACAACTCCTTTCCGACGCCTCTCCCCATATTGTGCTATCATCAAATATCTACCTCGGCGGTTCACACACCGTTATGCCAAGAAAGCTCTTGAAGACTCGTTGAATTTAAAAACACGGTCCTCCAGCTCACTTCTCATCCTCAATCTGTCTACCATATTCACCATCCAAATAGCACCATACCTTCCCATATAAATTGAATCCGATAACTTCGAACCCCATTCTATCAACTTAACAGTGCCGGAATCGTTAATAGATACTGCGGAGTCCTTCGCCTCCACTCTGAAATGATGATTGAATACCATACTACGCACCTCTGCCAATTTTTTCCCCTGATTGTGCACAAACTGTTCATCAAACGGAGGAACGGACAAGCCGATTGATCTCAGAGCAACAGGCTGCCTCTGCATCTTTTTCGACGACGGTGTGTGACCCACACGCACCGGCAAACGTGCTGCCGGAGCAGCACGTGTAGGAGACAGCACGCCGACTGGGGTCGCCGGTCTCTGCTGAGGCCTCCGGTGAGGCGCGTTTCCCTGAAGAGTGGCCGGATCTAGCGAAATCTACCGTGTATTCCCCGAATTTCTCCACTCTCTGCCGAGTTCTGCCTTATATCCCCATCCCTAGACGCGCCGCAGACAACATAAGAGATCCCGCCGGCGGCTCTAGGGTTTCCACCATGGACCGCCGCCTATGTGCGAAGGTAGTGGTTGGGGGGGCTGATTTGTGGCTTGAGGCCGGTTATGTGGTGCCTACCGGACAACTGGTTGTCGCCGGCGCTGGTAGGTATGGGTGTTAGCTAGGTTGGGTGGTGGTGTGGTGGCTGGGTTAATTTGGATTGTGGGGGGAGCTCCATCCGGTTCTACAACAAGGCCTTTTAAGGATCACGAGATAGGTCTTCAGGATTGAAGACAAGAATCAAATACACACACAGGTATGACGATTTTACGTGTATGCATGTTGGTGCCTGCATACTAATTGAGTGTCTTTATTCCCTTTCCAGCCCAACACAAATATCCTCTTCCTGATACTCTAAAGGTAATACAATAATTTAGATCAATTTAACCAGTATAAGCAAGATATAACACCGGACTTGCCATCATCAAACCACCACCCCATCAATGTCATGACAAATGAACACCCCCCAAAACAAGCTGCCTCCTGCCTTCACATCATCAGGCAAATTCAATTCCAGTAAACACCACCACCCACCAGTCTTCCTCTTCTTCGTTATGTCACAGCAAACTACACCATTAGGCAACCAGAAACAGACTATCATTTGCCATCAGCTTCCCTTACCATTCTCCTTCCAGGTATCACACCAGGTCCACTTCTTATTCATCATCTGGATAAAGTAGTCATAAATTATATCGGTTTCGACCCCTCTCACCATTACGAAACCTTTTACTGAACCAAATTTCAAGCTTCAAGTCATTTAAGCATTCAGAACCATATGTCAAGCTTGAAGGTGTTTAATTGCAATAGGAATGGTCTATGTCAACTCCAGTTCAGGAGACAAGGGTTTTTGCCTCTTTAATGTAAACTAACTAATATTTCAATATCAAAATGAACTAAAAAAGAGGCAGCATAACCAACAGATGATCCTCCCGGGCCTCAGACAAAAGCACTAGAGAAGGAGATATACATACCGGAAACAGCAAGGGCTTCATCTTGAAAGTTTTCATCAAGGCATTTACTTCAACAGAGGGAACCTGGAGAAATAATAAACAACGTCAGAACAATACTATACTGAGTCAAACTAAAATAGATCCATGTAACAAGCCTGTTTCACAATTGAAAGTTTATTCAAAAATTTAGAAGAAGACATGTCAGAACACTAGCATATTCAATAGTGTGTGTAAAATTAGGTTTGGGGTACAAAAGTAACAAGTCTTACAGTAATAAAGAGATTGGATCCCCTGTTTCTACATCTACTAAGTTTTGAATGGATTTTATTCAATTAATAGACACAGTAGAACATGAAAGAGTCGGGCAATTAACTTGTTCCCCTTCACTCGCAATGCAAGCTCCATCTCCATTTATTTCTTGAGTCCACTTCCCAAACAGGATCCTAGGATTCAAATTAGCAGTAAAGGAGAAATTGGAAAACAGGCCGTGATTTTACTAGAAGGAGATATCCTCTTTGATGTAGTATGAAGGTTCTATCATAAACTAATGAAGATAAGCACGACATTCATTGTAAATTCATACAGATTTATGTACGTATTATGCGTGTTCAATCTAGCATCTAATCCTAGTCATCTATAGCATGGGCAGCTGTATGAAGCAACAAGTGCACTGAAAAGGTGAAATCACAAATCCACAATGGCAATTTTCCAACTACCATTTTCATAATATCTCCAATATCACAATTTTTTTATAATTTGCAACTTAGTCTATCAAATATGTCTACAGTTATGGAAGACAATCCAAATGGCATCCCTTTGCGGGCCATATATATGTTACCACCGCTGTGTCAAGAAGGCAAGAGTATATATGCAAAAGTTGGGAAACTTGAACTGTCTAAATTACCACAGATGCATGAGTTCAGTTTAATCTCATATAATTCAAGATGCAAATATTTCGTGATCTATCATCTATATCCTCAATATGTCAGGCTTAGCACACAAGGGCAAAGGTAACCTGGTGATTTCTTAGAACATGTTTCAGGTACTTAGTCTCAATCCCCCAGGCCAGAGGAAATAAAATTGCCATTTCAAAGCTATACACACAATATGGAAATGTTTACACTCATGCATAGAGATCAAACCAACAGCTAAAATTTAACTGCAGTAACAAATGCAGGAAAATCTAAATGTTTTTAATTGACTGGAAAAAAAATGTGAAATATTGGTTTTCAAAAATAACAGAAATTGCAATACGCGAGTGGAGGGTAACACGCAAGTCACCCACAGACAATGCTATTAATCAGATAGTTACAAGTGCCTCTGCTGGCAAAGCATTTCAAGATACCTGACACATGAGGTGATACTCTCCTTCCTCTGGATGGATGCCAAAATCTCCAGAAGCTTCTAAAGGAAGATCACCAAACCAACCCCTGGCATTGTGTAAAAATATTCGCTGGGCTCGGAAACATAAACTCGCAGATATATCCTGTAAAAGGGTGTGATGTTCCCATAAAAAAACTCTTTGGTTAAAGCAATTTTTCTTTCAAATTGCAATCAAAATAAGTTTTAACGGTTTTGATGGTCATAGGCATATTGACCAATGGATTCTCCTAAAGCATCTGGAGGACCACATATGAAGACTCAAGATGTTAATCAGTAGAACATTGAGCAGCATTACATCCTAACTGGTACATCATACTCTTTCGATGACAACATGAAGACAAGCAATAACTATTTTTCACTACTGCTATTAATCTGAATCTTTTCACTTGAAAATAACATCAAAATTTTCATTTCCTGTTGAGAGGCATAACAAGAATTTTAAGCATTAACGTATCAGTCGTTCCTCTACTAAATGACTTACGCAGCCTAAAGTACATAGGCATAAGAAAGTCATAAATTCTCCTAAAGAGTGCAAACAAAGATTAAACAACACTCTGGTTAAGCAAAAGTCAGTAAAAGATTCCACAAATATCATTCTCAGAGGAATTAATGGCTTTGATTTTCAACCTCATTTTCACTAATGTGTCCACTTAGAAGCACAATTGGAGAACAGTGTGTATACCTGACCTACCACATCAATATCACAGAAAGAACCAAAAAAACTAAAGCAGCCATAGAATTGACTGTATATGCAAAACACTTTTTACAAGTATGGCCTTTTCTCAATAAAATAACATCATTTATATTCCTAAATAGTGTTCATACGAATATGAGAAAACAGATACAGAGATCATTCATATGAGAAAGGTAAAAAAGGTTTCATCAACACAGATGTGACAAAAGACATACAGAAAAGCGTGATGGAGCATCATATATGTGAAAGGCCGAGCCCGTTACATCAAGCTGCCCATGAAGATTGGGAAATGTTTCTCCTCTTGACATGCATATGTGAACCTGTCAACAACTTTAGTGTTAAAAATTGAAATGCAAAATTGATCTGGTATGTGGTTGTATATTATATTTGCAATTCATCTTTTGGAAAACTACAGTTAAATTATGTTCAGCAACTCGTTACAGATAATGAGAATTCACAGCTAAACAAAGGGTTCTCAAAACAAAGAGTTAAGTTCGTGACTGAAAGAACCAAATATATTAACATGACAAAATTATTTAATTTAGTAACGGTGCTCATGATTGTTATGTCGGCATGCAATTCGGCTTTTTTATTTCTTCCATGGGTAAAAATCGATTCATTTCTCATCCTGGAACACACAGACTATGTTATGCCTGGGGAAGTGGAGAAGGTTTTCTTACACATGTTCCCCCAAGAATGCTTCTCATTGGAATGATAACTCGTCGCTGCTGTTAGTTTACAAGTTTTAAGAAAAAGATTCAAACAAAAAAAGAGCAATATAGATCTTCACATCATACCAACAGATAGTACCATCAAAAATTAAAAAAGGAAACTTCCTGACTATTACAGTCCAGAATTCAATATATCCACTGCAGATCCTTGTGTTCCAGACCCAGTTAATGCCTCTGGTCACAATTCTCAAGAATGAAGTTGTGCTTTGTCTCATCTTGATGGTAATATTTTTCACATTTACCATGTAGGATGTTCTAATGTGCCCCCTACTACTAAAGCAGTTTTCCCTAGATAGTATTTGGCAAATTGTTAAATTGGTAAGACAAGTCTGGACAAGTCTGCTAATACTGGTTTGGTAATTGCAAATCCTGAAACTATTCATCTTTAGATCGATTCATTTTTTTCCCCTAAATATGAATAAATGCAAAGCCAGAGGAGCTACTTGGAACAGAAACTTATTTTCCTCGGAGCTAAAACATCACATAAGAACTTCCTACACAGTCATTTTTCTTTTCCTAGTAATTGGAGGTTCACCTTTGGTGCTATTTAAATAATAAATTTTGTCATAAGTTAACATTTTACCTTGAATCTTCTGTCTTAATTAATTAATTACAGGATAAAAAATAAACGCTTTATAAATTCCATGTAAATGATAACACCAGTTTTTCCCTGCCGCTAGGTGATGCAGCTGATGCTCTTTACTCCAGGAATAGCAAAGAAACCTAATATACAAGTGTCTAAATTTAACAATGAAGATCAGAAAATCTAACTTGTCTGACATTACTTGACTCTAGAAATTGAATCCAGAAGGATTCACAACATCCTTGTAAAGTAGCAAGAAATTACATTTTTACTAGCACAAATTGATTTGCATCATCTAACAAAATCATGGCTCAACACAGCTCTCGACAACTTAAACTTCAACATGGCAAAATACTTTTAATTCACACTAAAGGGGAATAAGTCGCTAATCAGAATATATTTTGTATGAGAAAAGCATAAAGTTAGAGAAACACCTCACCGCTAGCTCTTCCATCAGACCACGTAATTGGAAGTTCTAAAATCCTCTCAAAGAGCTGCATGAAGGAACAAATAGAACCCCAGGTAGTTAGCATTCCATACAAAAATCAATGACTGAAAACTAAAGAAAATGTGATTTTCCCTGGCCCTACACACTTATTTTCAAAATTATCTCGAGAGATACGTAATGTACATCACCGGAACAAAGAGATTCGCAATTTTCAAATTTGCGTGCCACTTCTGCTCTTCTGTATCAACATAAACATCTGTTGACAACCAGCCACCATCATTAGATGTCGTATCCGATCTCCACATCTTGCAACTGCCACTAAGCTGCACGTGCACACGTCCATAATGATTTTGAAACTTCACATGTCCATTGGCAGCGTCCATTTCTCTAGACAAAATAAATAAATATTAGGAGCATGGCATCTGACATCAGTAAGCAATTTCAAATATGAAAAAGTGTAATAACCTAACAGTCAATCTTCAGATACACATTGCATCATTATATCAATTTTAGTAGCTTTCATTAACAAAAAAATATGTAACAGTTGACAAATATGTAAAAGTAGATTGAGATTTTTGAAATCTTCCTCAAGACAAGGTCGGTTTCAGACATGTAAGTCATGTTAGATCTTCAGTCCTGCAAGAAAAAGGCACAGACACAGCTAGTGGTGGTCGCAAAAGTGATGTTTCAGGTACAGGACCATTATCTATTCGGTGCCTATGCAGTACTACGTGTAACAGAAAATAAACCAGATAGGAACTGTATCTCAAGGAAGCTTACCTCGGCTCCATGTCACCATATGCTAGCAGCATCAGTGTACCACCTTTAAAATGGACAGAATCAAGAACTAGGGGAATAATCTTATCAATGCCTGAAGTGTTTTCTTCATCAATTTCATCAAAAAGTACTGCAGAAATATCCTCAACTTTCCGACCAATCTCAGACTTCAACCTTTGCAAATGTCTGACAAGTAAATAAGACCATGCCTCATTCATGTTTTCACACATGGAGGAGAAAGCCGAGCGCAGGCTCAAAGGCCAAATGTTTTTAAAATACTGCATAGAAGGTGAAGGATCAAGAGCCATCAAATCGGAAAATTGAGATGCATGGCCACTTTGACTATTCAACATATCGCTCTGTGCATCCTGTATCTGCTCCACCGACCTGCCAGGTTCATTTCTGACACCCGTAGTTCTATTTTCGGTATCACTGCCTTCTAAATCTTCATTACTTACAGAAAAACTATTTGTATCACTTGTTCCAACAACGCTGCTAACAGATGAAAATTTACAGTGAGAATTTGTAGCTTTACTAAGTCTAGGCAAAGTAAAAAGAAACTAGGCAAAGTAAAAAGAAATGGATAGCGTAAGAAACTAAAGTTGCTGGTGTTATTTGTAGGATTCATTTCTGATTTTTCTCTAAAAACGTACCCATTCTTCAATTTGTTCTCTACTTCCAGGATAATCTCGTCAGTCAAACCCTTCTCAGTTGCTCCTGCTTCTCTATTATCAACATTTTTAAGTGTTGCATATTGATCGTCAATCCTCACATCTCTTTCAGAACTAGTTACAGCAGAAATGGAGGAGGCAGTATCACTCCAGGTTTGTGTTAAGGAATTTCCCAAATTCAAAACATCACAAGCACCAGATGCCCCAGTAAAGTTTCCCGATTCCCCACGGGATTGACCCCGGAAATATGCACACGCGGCTGATGCACTACGTTCGAGAATTCTTCTTTTAGCTGCAACACCTGCCATAGATAAATCTCGGCCATTGGACTTCCTCTTAAATTGATGCCTAATAGGTCCAGGTATAATTTTTGACCAGATATTCCTGGATTGAGCAATTCTTGCACCAAACGCTTTCTCTAAATCAGCATGCTTTAAATCATACTCCACACCAGCATCCATGCAATGATGATCTCTCTGTCTCTGGTGTATTTTATCATCCATATAGAAAAATGACTCTTGGGGGACTGCCAACCTTGTTGGAAGGCTTGCACTCTCCTTTGAAATATCACCCTCAGATAGGCTACAATTTGCTTCAGAAACTATATAACCATTTTCAGCAGCTTCCCTAGCTGCGCAATCTCTTTCGCTCTCCCAGCGAAGCACAGCTTCCTCTCTTGTAACCCTCCTAGTCCTCGTACGATAATCAATTCCTTCTTCAGTTGACAAGTGCCCATGAGGAGTGCCTTCATAATAAGGTATCCCCAACCAAGTGTAGTTCTTCTTTTGTGCTATCAACAAACTTGGATTAGACAAAACCGCATCAACCACAATTTTCCCCCTTCTCAGACTAGAAAAAGGTAGGATGCGTAGTTTGACAATGGGCACCTCACCACAAGAGAACTCTTCGCTATGAGGCCCAATTGAGCACGACTCCAAAGTAATGCTTAAAGGTGAAATTCTTCGAACCTTACCAAAATCAAGTTCACGCTGAATATGGTCACTCAGTAATGCACAAACACGAGGCAACAACCTGGCTTCAACATAACTCTTTGCCTTCAACTGCCCGTACCACATTAACAAGCACACCCCAGACATGACTGCACAAAAAATAGAGCACCTAATTAAAAGTAACCCCTCTTCCCAAAATGGAGTCACAGACCTGACCAAAGTCTTGCTGCGAGCAAGAGGTTCTCTCACAGAATTGATCATCCAACGACTCTGCAATCCTAACTTCTTCCATAATTGCTCGACATTTTCCCCGTAGGAATGAGTAAATTTGATCCCTTGTGAGATCCAGTCATGTTTCTTTGCACACTTAACCGTGTGAAAATTTGAACCCTTGGAGGGTTTTGCTTTAACTCCATTCTGATAAACATAATTACCCTTGTTTTTCCTTTGAATCACATTGCACGGAAGCGGAACCCATAAAAAATAATTTTGAAGTTTACAACTCATTATCTCCTGTTAAATAACTCAACTTGATTCAACTCATTTCTAGGGAACTAAGAGCAAGCTCTTAGTATCCCCAAAATCTTCGGTTTATGAATCAGTATCAAAACAGTCAAGATCCAACAAAGATTAACAAATGCCCCTACTAAAATCTTCCTAATTTAAACATAACCAACCATTATATATCAGCTGGAATCAGCACAATAGCGAGAAGTGCCTGTCCGCCTGAAAGTGGATTTCAGGTTGGTTAGTGTTGAGAAGGTATTAGCCACAGGTGACTCAACTGAAACAACACAGTTTGGTTAGGAAAAAAAAAACGAAAATATTATAAACCACCTACATTAACTCTATTCATTTCGCAAACCAAAATAAAGAAAATTGATTCCTTTATCCCGTTTTCAAGTTTCAAAGAATCATCTCCC